GGGCAGGGCCTCCGCCTGCTGGCCTGTGTGTCTGTGATGTTGCTCAGTGCGGGCTCCTTGAACGCTCACGAATAAAAACAGGCCCTTTCTCAGGCAGTAAAACACACACGTCTTAACTGTACAGCTGGAAGGATTTCTACGCATGCTTACACCTGGGTAACCTCTGCCAGGCCAAGGTCTAGAACATTCCTACCCCTGAGCTGGCTTCCTCGTGCCCCGGTCCAGTCACTGTCACCCACCATGGACAACCTCTGTCCTGACAGTGAGTCTTGCCTGCTTCTGACCTTTATCTGGATGGAATCCCACGGAATACAGCCTCCGTGCCTGGCTTCGCACGATCTCCTTCTCCCATGGCCCGTGCAGGGATCCCTGTGCTGTGTTCAGCCTGGGGCTGTCATGGATAAGACGGCCGTGAACCTGAGTCCTTCACGTGTCTTCTGCTGGACACTCGAGCTGCCTTCTCTCGGGGAAATACCTTTGAGCATCATCGCGGGGTTCTAGGGTAGAATCCTGAACAGCTCAACTCTAAAGGCCCCTCCCTGGGCATCGCACACCTGTCCCCACCTCTCCCCAGTGGGCCTACCAGATGGCCTCTCCACCTCCCTCCAACGGCCCAGTAGAGGAAACTCGAGCTATTTCCACCTTGTTGGGCAGAGCTGATCTGATCTCGCCCCCACCGTCCTGTGGTCCAAGGGCCCCCCCGCCCCTGTCATAGCTGAAGGGCCCACCAGATTGGTCAGCAAACACAGAGCCCTTCCTTACCCTGAACAGGACACAAAACTCTTCCCTGAGCACCTCCTGTGGCACTTCAGGACGGTCTACCTGGGGTCTGTCTACTTGGGGTCTGTCCCTCTGTCCTGGCCACCCTCCTTCGCATAGGACAGGGACTATGGCTAAGCTGTTCCTGCCCCCAGTGCCCAGCACACAGCCTGGGGAGGATGACAGACATCTGGGGACAGAGAGGAAGGTCTGGAGACAAACGTCTGCACCTTGGGGACCAAGCCTGAAGATGGAGACTCGAGGTCCAGTCAGCTGCTTTCAATGTCCTGGGTCATTTTTTTTTTTTAAAGATTTATTTATTTATTTATTTGACAGACAGAGACCACAAGTAGGCAGAGAGGCAGGCAGAGAGAGAGAGGAGGAAGCAGGCTCCCCACTGAGCAGAAAGCCCAATGTGGGGCTCGATCCCAGGACCCTGAGATCATGACCTGAGCCGAAGGCAGAGGCTTAACCCACTGAGTCACCCCGGCGCCCCAATGTCCTGGGTCCTTAAGGCAGGCCTGGCATCCCTCCGGGGTCAGAACCCGTTCTTCCCTTCCACCTGCCAACCAAGCCTTAGGCTCAAGGCTGGTGAGTTAGGGACCACCAAAGCCATGCCAGCCCACCTCCCAGCAACCCTGGTTGGAGCAGGTGAGCCATGGGGACAGAAGAGGTCTCTGACATTTTTGGAGAATCCCCAGTTGGGGGGGCATGCCCCTGACCAGTGGGAGGGGCCTAGCAGTGGCCCTAGGGACACGGGCAGTCAGGTTCCGTGACCAGAGGTGCCCTCGCCCACCCCACCCTTGGCCTTCAGCCCAGACCATGGTTCCTGACTTCCCAGAAGTGCATCTCCTGAGTGGAGTTCCGTGCTTTGCTCTCATTAACCTCCTGAACCGGTGGAAACGCCCTGCTTCATCCTCCCACTACGGAAGCTGGGGGTGGGAGCTGAGGGAAGGTAAGGGGACTGTCCAGGCTGCTGTCCAGATCGGAGGCAGGGGTGGGAGGGCTGGGCACCCCTGTCTCCCCTCCGAGAGCCCTGTGGCTGAGCTCTGAGACCCTCTCTGCCCTCCCCCCAACCCCCGAGCTGGGTTTCCTCCCCTGATGGCCCTCACCATGCATCTATTTCTTCATCTCTAAAATGAGGCTATCACGGCCTTGCCTGAGGATTTGGAGGTTCACATGTGAATTGTTTGGTAGATACTGTGTAGTAGGTACCGTGCAAGAGTCAGCCCGTCCCCTGACTCACTGTGCCCTCCATGTGTGGCATCCGATGGGCTGGGCTGGAGGGGCCGGGGGTGGCCGACAAGGCTGTGTAAGTCTCCCGTCTGTTTCCACCACTCCCCATCTGTCTCTCCTGGCCCCTTCACCCCACCAGGGGTGGACGGGGTCCCCCCGCTTTGGGAGCAATCAGGAGATATTCTTGGAGTACTTGAGATTCAGTGGAGAGACAAACTTGCCGTGGAAGGGGTCACAGGTGGCCACAAGGAGAAGGCAACATTTAAGCCAAGATTGAATGACGGGGAGGGTTTGGGCTCCCCGTGAAGGTGATGGGACTAGCAGCAGGAGAGCAAGGGGAACATCATATGTGAGCCCTTGGCCCATCAAGATGGCACAGGGACCTTGGATGTGACTCTGGGCAGCTCAAACCCTGGCACCCCAGCAAGGAGAGATTTTGGCCCTGTAACAGCTCGTCCCCAGGGGGACCCCAGGAGAGCCTGCTTCTTGGCCTGGGACTCACCAATGGGTCCTGGGACAGTGGAGGAGATGACCTCCTTGGCTGGACTGTCTTCCTGGAGAGAGGCCTCCCAATTAGGTGGCTGGGACCCCGGAGAGACCTGTCTTTCAAGTGGGGTTGCATTTTTGTGCCCCAGGATGGAAACACCCCCAAAGAAGCTTAAGTTGGTGGGGTCAGATGCAGAAGCAGCCCACCCCCGGACTCCAGGACTCGCTGATCCCTTCCTCTCCAGGGCCTCATCGCTCTTCCTGCCTGCCTGACTTCTGGCACACCCCTCTGTGTAAGCCAGCATTCCCAGCAGAGCCCTAGGTCCCATGCTAGGAACGGGGTACAAATGCACACTTGCAGGGAGTGGGGGGCGGAGCCCCCTAATTTCCCATGACTGTCCACTTGGCCCCCTGGGTTCCTGCTGCAGAGGACAACCAGGGTCTGGATGGGGCCAGGGCATGGAGATGGGGAGGCTGGAGGCTGCAAAGGGCCCTGGGAGCAGGGCCCGTGGGTGAGGGGCTCAGAGGAGAGGCTCTGAGATCATGACCTGAGCCGAGATCAAAAGTCAGACGCCCAACCAACTGAGCCACCCAGAAGCCCCGGAACATCTTATGTTTTTGTAACATGTTCTTGTCAACCACACCTGAGGCCATGCTGATGGGATGACCTTCATGAGAGGCTGGAAGTTGAGTTCCATCACCAACGGCCAATGATTTCATCAGTCCCGCCTCCTTGAGGGAAGCCCCCAGAAAGCCCCTAGCTGATGGGTTCAGAGAGCTTCTGGGTTGGTGGCCCCACTGGGAGGGCGGTGTGCCCAGAAAGGGCATGCAAACTCCACGCCCCCGCCCCCCCCCGACCTCTCCCTATGCATCTCTTCTAGTCTGCCCCTGAGTTGTAGCCTTTATAATAACCCAGTAACGGCAAGGAGACTGTTTTCCTGAGTTCTGTGCGCCCTTCTAGCAAGTGACCCAGTCCGAGAATGGGGTCATGGGAATCCCTGCATCGTAGCCAAGTCGGACAGACGTGGGGGTATCCTGGGCACCCAGTTCTTGTTACCGCTGTCTGAAGTGGGGGGCAGTCTTGGGGTGCAGTCTTCTGGCTTCTGGTTCGGTGAGGTCAGCTGGAGCCATCAGCGTGAGGGGTATTTCTCCCCTGTCCCCCCCTCCTTCTGGTGGTTGCGTTCTTTTATCTACAGCCCCTAGTTCTGGCGGGCAGACCCTCCCCCAGGACTCCTGCTCACTGGCTCTGGAAGCACCACTCCCTCCTGTGGGCCCCTCGGGTACGGGAGGGCTGGGCAGCCCCAGTCAGGGCCCTCTTCTGTTGGCTCCCTTAGCGCGCTGACCACACCTTTGTAAACATTTCCTGCACTACAGCGTGCCATCTGTCTCCTGCCAGGCCTGACCCTACGGGACATTGATTTGTGCAGTGAAGAACTTCATCGCCCAGCTCAACCCTCCCTTTTTACATAAGGGAAAGCTGAGGACCAGAGAGGGTAACCAATATGTCCAGAGTCACCCAGCCCCGGGGTTGGGGCTCATGGATGCTCCAGAAAGGCTCTGGCGAGGCCAAGGCTGACCTAGGCAGGGTGTGGAAGCCCGTTTGCCCCCCTCCCCTCCCTGGCCCTCCCAGCCTGACTCCCCCATGGTCATGTGAGCACTTCCTCCAGAGCAGAACCCGATGTGTCTTCAAGGGCTAATAAACCGATTAGGACCGTTCGCACCTCCCAGAAAGAGGCACCTGGGAACCCAGCCACTACCTTCCTTCCCTGCCTCCAGCCCCCAGGGCACGCAGCACAGGCTGTCCTCCAGCCTCCCTGCCATCCCTTACCCTAACCTCAAGCCACCCAAAACCTGCCCATCCACCAGCCCCTGGTGGCTCCCGGGGCTTTGCATATGCTGTTCTCCCACCTGAGCACCCTTCCTGCCTGCGTCACCCGGCACAGGGCTGCTCCTTCTCCAATGCTACACGTGCCCAGAAAGCCTCTCCTGAAGCCCATCTGGATCTCTGGTACCTGCGTCCCCGCCGTTCTTGAAGGGCTGGTGTCCCTCTCTTCCCAGTACAGCACGGGGCATCTTGAGGGCAGGACACTGTGTGGGGCATCTCCCGCCCTGGGGAGCCTGGCACAGAGTGGGGCTGATGGTCACAAATGCGGGACGCCCCAGAACTCAGTTTGGAGCCAGAGTCGGCTTCACCTGCGTACCCTGCCCCCCCACGCCCAGAGTGAGCCTCGGGCTGGCCGGCAAGCTTAGAGGTTCTGAGCCCTCCAGCCAGAGGGGAGCCACAGGGAGGACGCTGGGAGGATGGGGCAGCCAGTGCCAGACACACGCAGCCTCCCAGAGAGGCTGGGGACAGGAGTTCAGGCGGACTGCTCAGCCTCTCAACAACTCAGATGAGCACGGGGATGCTGGGGACATTTATTTCTGACAAGGACAGGCCCAATTGGGGGCCAAGGACACCTCCCCCCACCCACACTCTGAAACGCTCTCTTCCCGGGGCTCCGGAAGAGGCAGGATCTGTAGCTGGGACCAGGGCGGAGGCTGCGGGGTAGACGAGGACTCCTCAGGAGCCCCCCGTGGCTGGAGGGCTGGTCACGTGGTGGGTGTCATATCTTCTCATGCACACCGACTGCTCTGGGCCCGAAATGGGAGTGCTCCCGCAGGTGTCATAGCTTCAGGGGAGGGGAGACGAGATGAACTTAGGGCCCAATCCAAGTCCTACAGCTTGGAGCTCTAGGCATAGGAGCATTGGGGAAACTGAGGCTCCGCTGGCCAGGCTGGGAATACCAAAGGGAACCAGGCTATTCCTGGAAACTTCACAAATCCAGCTGTGCCCTCCCAGCACCCCATTCTCCTCTACACCCTGCACCCCAGGAGCTGCTTGTCTCCCCTGATTGAAGCCCACCACTGGCTCCCTCAGGACACAGCCCTTTTTCTCAGCGGGGAATCAAGACCCCTGCTTTCCTGGCTGCCAGAAACCCTCCCCCACCAAGCAGCCCCTCTCCCTCCCAGAACTGCTCTCCTCCTCCCTTCCCCAAATCCAACCCACACGGGCCTTCCCCTTTCCTCTAGGAAGTTGCAGGCACCTCCGGTTCACCAGGCCCCAGCATCCGAGCTCCAGATGAAGTTTTGAGGCAAAACTCAAGACTTGGACTAAAAGCAATTCTCCCCTTGGATGTATCCCACAGGGGTGTCCGCTGCGAGCCCCCCGGTCGCAATTCCGGCTGCTGCCGCCAGGGGGCGAGTGGGGCGCCCTCCAGTATGGACACGCCCCTGCCACTACCGTCTCCTACGGGGCAACAGGCAGGCAGAGAGGGACAAACGAGGAGGGGTTCATGCCTGCACACACACCCCCGCCACCTGCCGTCTTCTGGGTAGGGAGGGGGAGGGGCATAAGAGGTGGTTCCAGCCAGAGACCCCACCCCTCCCAGGGGGCCGAGACCCTGTCCACTTACCAGGTGTAGATGAGCACAGCAAGGAGGGCAGTGAGGAGGACAGCCAGCAGGACAGACAGAATGGCGATGATGACCACGGTGCCCGCGCTTTGGGACCCTGGGATAGCCTGCAGTGCCTCAGCTGAGGGGCGTGAAGAGGGCACCCCAGGGAGGAGAGAGCTGACCTGAGCAAGGGGACCTGGAACAGCCTCCAGGCCAGCCCTCCCTCTCCCCAGCTCGGGGCTCCCAGCACCTGCGGACAGCTCAGTGGTAGTGGTGCCTCTGATGGGGGGCTGGCCCATTCTCCCCAGCCCAGCCCAGCCTTGGGAGCCCCCCTCAGGCCCCGCGGCCCCCAGCCCCAGTGTTTGACCTGCTCATCTGCCCACCCCATACCCTGCTGCAAGCGGGTCTCGCTGGACCACTCCGTCTCAGCCACAGGTCCCCTGTCACTCATCACCAGGAACTTCACTCTGAGAAAGAGACCCAGGATCGGGGGTGAGGCCTCTGGCCCCTGGCACCTGTCCGTGTGACCCCTTGACTCCCAGGGCCTGGGGACTTGGGGGGAACAGGAGACAGGACCTAAAAGCCAGCCTTAGAACCTCCAGAAGGGGCTCCAATTCCAGCTGTGACATTTCCCAGCTGTGTAGCCCTGGGTGCCTCCTTCACCCTCTCTGGACCTTTAAAGTCCTCACGTAGGAAATGTGTGTGTGGAATGGTCTAGATCCCCAGCACTCAGCATCCATGACTCAAGCCCCAAGTGAGGGGAGATGGGGCTGGGGCACACCCTGTCTGGACAGAGAAACTCCACCTGCTGGTTCCAGAAGGCCTGTGGGGGCAGAGGCTCAAGTGGGCGGCCCTCTGCTGGAGAAAGAAGGGAGACTTTCCCCAAGACCTCCCTGCGGACCACTGGGAGCTGCCCCAGGCTCAGGTTAGGGCCCCCAGGCTCAGGTTAGGGCCCGGAGGTAGCTCACCGGTAGGGGCCGGGGCCTGGCAGTGGGGCGTTGCAGCCCCGTTTGGCCAGGGAGCAGCTGGTGTCATTGCCAACGCGGAGGACCCGGAGCTGGTTCCCAGTCTGGTTGCCCGGATAGAGGGCCCGGTGGGCCATCAATGTGAGGTAGTAGCCCCTCCGGGTGAAGTCGGCAGGGGCTGGGATGTCCTCAACCCTCTGTGGGGCTGTGAAGCTCTGGGTGGCTGAGGGTAGCCGCCGGTCAGATGGCGTGGGCTGCCGGGGGCAAGGGGTCCACCCCCTCCCGCCAGGCCAGACAGCCCTCCTGCCACATCCCACCCCCGGACCTGCCTCCCCTCCCCCCATACCTGCGGCTCCTCCCAGGCTTCCTGCCCATTTCACGGAGGGAAAACCAAGGCCTGTGCCCCCGCAGCACCCACCATTGCTGTGGGCCACCACCAGCCAGATGGCATCCAAGTCAGAGATGTTGAGGCGACTGAACTGGCCCTTTGGCTGCTCCAGTGTGAAGGTAGACTGGGTGAGGGTCCCTGCCAGGCTGGGGCTTGCGAGCTGGGGCACATAGCGGATGCGCTCTGGGGCAGACAGAAGGGTCTCAACAGGACAAACAAGCCCCCACAGCCCAGTCTGAGGGAGGAGTCGTGGTCCTAGAAGCCCCAGTCTGAGGGCCCAGTCTGAGGGGAAAGGCACAGACCAGATTTGGGATCCCCGATCTGAGGGAGGCCTGGAGGCTTCTCCTGGAAGCTGCGGGCAAACACTAATCGGGAGGGCTCCCTAACAAGTCTGTGCCCGTGGGACACAGGTGGGTGGCCTGAGTCCAGCCCCTGCCCCCTGCCTTGCTGGCTTACTAGGGGTAGGCACAGTAGGAGGCCAGGAGGGAGGTCCTGGCCCACCTGTCCCTGGGGTCCCTGCCTCGGGTGGGGCCTGGGGAAGGCTTGGAGGCACAGGAGGCCCCGCCCCCAGCAGCATACACAGTTGTGGGGAAGGGGTCTTAGGCCTTGTTGGGGTGAGACTACAATTTCGGGGAGCTTGAGCCTAAACCCTAGACTGGACTTGACAGGGTCCAGTGACCTTGAGCTCTGGCACTCTCTGGGTGTCCGTTTACCCGCCTCTCCAGTCCCTCCAGCTCCACCCCCATGATCCGGGCTGGTTTGCTTGAAGAGAGGAATGAGTGGCTTGGGAGGGTGGGGGTAACACAGGAAGGTCCCCACCAAGACCCCAGTCCCAGACGCGTGCCTCCGGAGGGTGTCCTGGCTGAGAGGGGAGGATATCCTCTTCTCCCCACCCAGTGCTGTGCCACCTCCCACCCCGCCCCAGGCACCTTCCCCTTCTGGATCTTATCCTCCTCTCAGCCCCTCACAGCCTTGCTTGGGGAAGGGCAGAGAAGCCTGGGCCAGAGATGGGGGGCGGGACTCAACTTCGGTGCCCAGAAGGCTCCCCTGAGGGCACTGCCCCTCCTCTCTCCAGCCCCCAACACTGGAGGGCAGCAGAAAGGGGAGGCGGCTTTCCCGCCAGTCTCCAGAAGCCTCTCCCTCTCTCGGTTCTGCATGATTCATTTCCACTTCATTCCGCTCCAAAGGGTCAAGGCCAGACCTCTCCTTCCTCAGAGCCCCCGCTTCTGTCCCTGAGGCCCCAGGGGGACCCTGCATACAGCAGGCACTTACTGTCCACTTAACGAGGGAGAAGGAGGGGAGAAGCCCAGATGGGGGGGACTGCCCCTCCCTCTAAGCCCCTCCAGTTTAAGAGCCCACAGTGACCTGCACCCCAGGAAAGCTTCCTTGGGGGGGTTGTCCTTGTCTTTAAGTCTCCCCTCAGGGACAGGAAGGAGGGGAAGGAGAGGTGGGAACTGGCGAGAATGGATGGGGGTTCAGGATGCGGGGGATGAGAACCCCCAAAAGAGGCAGAAAGCATTGCCCACTCTCCCGTGGGGACAGGTGTCTGTCTTGTGACCTCTCTGGTGGGCCATCTCCCCTGACCCACCCAGGACCCAGTCCCCACACTTGGAGCTCGGGAGGTGGCTGGGGGAGGTGGGTCTGTCTCCTGAAGCCAGAGGCGCGGTGCTCTGGCCCCCTTCACTCACCCAGGCCTGTCCCCTGATGGAGGCGGGCCAGCAGCAGCAACAGTGGCATCAGCGGCCAATACGGACCCCCACTGAGCCCCACCGGCAGGCCGAGCATCTGACCGGCTGTCTGTCCCAGCATCTGTCTCCGGCAGGCTGTTGGCTAGGGGATGGAGGAGTTTGCTTCTGGCACTTTCCGCCGCTCCTCCCAGGTGCCCCCTCTCCCCAAACAACTGGTTGGACAGGTTCGGGGGCAGAATCTGCTGGCCCTACGGATCTGGCATCCCAGGGAGGGGTCTGAAAAGAACAATCAGCAGCTGCGGCCCAGCACAAGCCCGGACCCTCCCAACCCTGACTCCAGGAGGGCCTGGCCAGGGAGGGCCCCCAGGAAGGAGGCGGTAGCTCCCCGTCCAGTCCTGCCAACAGTCCCAGCCCGGCACCACCGAGAGCGCCGCCCCCCACCGTGCTGAAGGGAGTTACCCTCCAGGGGCATGTCCAGCGCGGGGCAGAGCCTGGATGGGACAATCACACCCAAAGGCAAGCTCGGGCGCACTCCCTGCAGTCCGGACTCTGGAGGGGGACTCCCCAACACCACCCGTCCTCCTCTCCTTATCCAGGTGACCCGCCCTCTCTTCTTTCTCCAGCTCTGGCTGCGGCCAGGACAGGGCAATTCTTCCTGGGACAGAAGGGTCCCAGATGGGGTCTGGGGCCAGGAGAGGGGGTGGGGCTGAGCGCGTACTGACCATCTTTGACCCGGATTGGAGCAGAAGCCCTTCATGGGGTTCCTCTGCCCCAAGCACCAGCCCTCTTCAGCCCAACCTCTGCCCCTGGCCAGAGCCAATCTCCTAAAACCCAAACTCCTTTGGGGACTGCTTTAAAAAACATTTACTTTTTTATTTATCTAATTTTTTCTCCTGAATATTTATTTATTTATTTGAGACACACAGAGAGAGAGAGAGAGAGAGGGAGCATGTGAGCATGAGTGGGAGGGGCACCGGGAGAGGGAGAGAGAGAATCCCAGGCAGACTCCACACTGAGGCTCCACACAGGGCCCGATGCGGGGCTCAATCTTGTGACCCCGAGATCACAACCGGGGCTGAAACCAAGAGTTAGACCCCTAGGCAATTGCAGGCCCCAGGAGCCCCTCAAACACATTTTTGAAACAATTATAAATATTCTCGAGTTATTGTAATGCATTTACATGCTATTGGATTGCCAGCCCACATACCCTATTTTTTTCCCCCAAAGTTCTTACGTGATGCCAATTACCTATTATGGTGAACTTCAAAAGACTTAAACACTCCTACCAGCTATGTAATTGCCTGCTGGATTTTTTTTTTTTTTAAGATTTTATTTATTTATTTGACAGAGAGAGAGAGATTGCAAGTAGGCAGAGAGGCAGACGGGGGGCGGGGAAGCAGGCTCCCCGCGGAGCAGAGAGCCCGATGAGGGGCTCGATCCCAGGACCCTGAGATCATGACCTGAGGCGAAGGCAGAGGCTTAACCCACTGAGCCGCCCAGGCGCCCCAAGCCTGCTAGATTTTTTGTGACCACCTCTCCTCAGACATGCCAGCAGAACATTTCAGAACATTTCAGACTTTTCAAGACTTGAAATCATTGCTTTTCCATTCGTGATTGACTCAACGCCAGGAAACTGGGGGCCAAAACCAGAGCAAAAGCTCAGGGAAGGCCGAGGAGGGCAGGGTGAGTCCGGGTGGGCACGGGGGGGGGGGCTGTCTGCCTAAGGGCCACCGAGAAGACCTCTTCAAGGCTCCAACCACTCAGCCAGTCTCTACCCCGAGGCCCTGCTACTTTGCAGATCCCAGCGACCTTCAGTTCTACTTACCCCAGGGGTTGGTGCTGCCAGAAATGAGCTCTGGTTGGCCTTGGCGTCTCCCCCAAACACTTGCCTGGCCCCAGGCATGCATCTCCGTCTTCCAGTCGCTGTGAGGTCACGTGCTGTTAACCTCAAGTGCATCATCACTGCATACACCTGTTCCCTGCTCCTGCTTCAGGCCCTGGCCCTCCCATACTTGAGGGGTGCAGGGAGGGGAGAAGGAGAGTGGGGGGCCAACCTGAGGGTCTGGATCAAGACCCAGCCCTGGGAGGGCTTTCTTTAAGTCCCCCGCTTTTTATTTTTGTCAACTTTTTTTCTTAAGATTTTATGTATTTGTTGGACAGAGAGAGATCACAAGTAGGCAGAGAGGCAGACAGAGAGAGAGAGAGAGAGAGAGAAGCAGGCTCCCCGCTGAGCAGAGAGCCCCATGCGGGGCTTGATCCCAGGACCCCGGGATCATGATTGGAGCCATAGTCAGGCTCCCTCTCTCTACCTTTTAAAGGCATTGAGAGCAGACATCGTAACGGGGAGAGCTTGCTTTATCTTCTTGAAGGAGACTCATCTCCTGGGCTCCCCAGAAGTGGGCAGGGTGGGCGTTCTGACTGATCTGGTTACACAGATGAGAAACCAGGGCCCAACCGAGAGAGAGGCCCTTCCTGCTGCCCAGTGGAAACTGGCCCCAGGTCCAGGTCCGGCCGACGCAGGACTCTGTCCCTTTTAGATCTGTGTTGCCCTGGGGGACCTGTGGGAACGTAGTGGCCCACACTCTTGACTGCTCTGCACGTGGCCCTGAGCTTTCTTTTGTATTTTCCCTCTTCCTGCCCATGTCCCTCCCTCTCCTGCCCCTACCGCCAGGCCCCCTGTGTCCTCGGTTTAGTGTGTGTCCCCATATCACTCACCTGTGGCTGCTGGGAGATACACCGTGGTCTTGGTCTGTGGCGCCCCACACAAAGAGCCCAGAGGGGTATCTTTGGTTCCCTCAAAGAGCTCTGCTGTGGTAAACGGGAAATACGCGTCTGTTTTTCATAACGAGTCCCTCTCAACCACACCTGAGTTTATGTCAACGAGGTGACATTTGGAAAGCTCCTAGGGAACCCCAGGACGGGGGCTGGTGGCCCAGGGAAGCAGCCTGAGGAGAGGACTGGAACTTTCTGCCCCTTCCTTCCTACTCCCAGAGAGAGGACTTGGGCGGGTGGTTGAATTAATCCCCAGTGGCCAATGGCTTAATCGATTATGCCTACATAATGAAGCCTCCATAAAAACCCCAAAACTGGGATGCCTGGCTGGCTCAGTGCATAGAGCACGTGGCTATTGATCGTGGGGTCGTGAGTTCAAGCCCCATGTTGGGTATAGAGCTTACTTTAAAAAAAAAAAAAAAAAAGGCAAAAACAAAAAGCAAAACAAAAAAACCCAAACTAGAAAAACGTGCAAAAAATATTCTTTTTCCCCTAGTGATTTGAAATGCCATTTTTCTCATGCACCAAGGACAGAGGCAATTCTCAGGGTCCCCTCTCAGCCCAGGACAAGCCCCCATACGTACCAGGGGTATCCACAGCCCACTTGGGGTACCACCGGCTCACTTTGTCCTGCCAAGCACAGGTATGAGGTCCCGATGCAGGGCTGGATCCCAGGACCCTGGGATCAGGACCTGAGCCGAAGGGGGACGTTTAATGACTGAGCCACCCAGGCGCCCCATCTGGGCATTTCAGCCACAGCAACTTTACCCTACATGCTACTCGACCACAGTATAAATGATTTCTCCCAACTACACTAACTGTCTGTATTGTTATTTGACAAATGCATCTCTTCTCCGTTAATGGTAACTCCCGCACCATGTCTCCAGCGCCGGGTCCGGGATCTGGCACCGTAGCTGTGCTCAGTGGTGACTTTGACTACGAATATGGAGCCCTCCCTGCTCTGTGTACCCGGCCAGTTGGCCCGTGGGTTCCGTCTTGCTTTACAGGATTGGACTGACAACTACCATGTTGTGGCCTCAGGGTAGAACCCAGCTTCTCTGCTGTGTCCCCGCTTCCTGGTCCAGATGTCCCCAGCCCCAGTGAGTCCTAGCATAAAGGGTGCGGGCCCAGAATGCCCAGAGGGACTGGGCGGGGGTCGGGGGGCATGCCAAGCCCAATCGAATTGTCTGTTCCCAAGGACCTACCTCGCCTTGTACCTTTGGAGTGACTCATGGGACGAGGTGGGTCTTCCGCCAGCCCCCAGACACAGAGCAGCCGGCTAAAGGCTCCCAAAGGCCCACCCAACTCCATGTCGCCAAACAGGCCCCAGCTCCGTGGCAGCCATCACAGCCTGTCCTGTGGAGGTGCACAGGAAGAAGTGGGGCCCTTCCAGGGGCGTCCAGGCTCTTCTCCGCCCTCCCCAGCAGAGCGATGCCCCAGTTAGGCAGTCTGGGGCTTCTGCTGTGCAGACAGTGGGAGTGCAGGTGACCCAGGCCCTTCCGCCTGCACCAGCGTGCCCTTGGGGCCACTCACCAAACGCTGACAGAGACCCCTCTGTGCCAATATCAAGGGGGAAAGACCCCAGAGTTCATTGACCCCACCCTGGTCCTGAATCTTTCTACTGCATGGTGGTCCAGCCCCTCCCAGGTCTGCTTGAATACCCCTCAAGACAGGCAGCTCACCACCTACCGGGGCTCATTAAAGCATCACACACCTGCAATCATAAACCAGAAGGCTCTTTAAGTAGGGGAATGCCTCTTTTGAGTGAAATCTCACAATTTGGGGGCCAAGAGGCCAGCGACCCGGGCTCATCCCTGACCCACCTAATCCTTGGGTCAAGTCCTCCCTGCTCCGGGCCTACATCTCCCCAGCCTGTCACAGGGCAGCTGGAGTTTGGAAAACTGGGGCCTTTTTCGTCACTATGTTCAGTGCACCTGCTGCACTGTTTACTGAGGGGCTACTGCGTGCCAGGACTGCTGTGGGCAGCAGCTCTAGAGGCAAAGTGGGGGCTGGGAAAAGGGTGGGCACCTTACTCACTCCTCCCTCCAATAGGCCATCAGAAGACCCCACTCAAAAGAGGCACCCGGGGATGTCTGATGACCTGAGCCCCCTCTCAGCGCCCCATCCCTCCTGCCCATCCCCCCCATCTGTACCCCATAGCACTCTGTGCCTTTGGGGCTCTCCCACTGCCCCGGCCCCACAGATCTGGGGCTCAGACAAGGACGGGGCTCCAGGCACAGGAGTCGGAGGTCAAGGCTGAGCCTGGGGGATCCATGAAACACTCGTGGGGGCTCTGACCCGCCTCCGATGGTCAGCAGAGGGAGCAGGGCTGGAGACCAGGAGGGAGAG